TTGACTATTAGCCTAAGTGGCGCACCTTCCTTGTGTATCTTCGGTAATCCGTATGCTGTTGGTGGTCGTGAACACAAGACCAAGTTGCGACAACGAGGTCAACCCACTTCAATAAGTTATTTGAAATTCCGCTTTAATGCCTAGTTCATCTAAATTAACAGTGAGTATGTTCCGATTATATCAGTAGGTCATGTAGGGCTAATGCTTAAATTTTCCCACATTTATCAATCGCGATGCTGGAAAATGTAACTGAATCTTGCTCCCACAAAAGTATCAACATTCAGGGTGTGCTACAGTTTCTTCCTTGTCTGGATCCTATCAGTACCCAAATGGCTAGCCTAGCCTCCCTTATGTCCCACTTTGTGATGGTATTGGTAATTAATTAAAATGGTATTTGTTATTATAATCGACAACATTAATTATATCTCGACAAAGTCGATCCCAAACTACCCGAGTTCGATTCCCGTTTGGAGTACTGATGAGGCGCATGCTAATATTATAATAAAAAGATTCAACTATGCGACTATGGATGAATACAGCCCTAGTTCATGTATTGTTGTAGATACCATACTTTCGTATGAAAGTTAAAATCGTCGCTTGTTCCCACCGGAAGACGACGGCCGATTCCCATTTAATACGACGTTCAGATTTACCTGGTCAACGAGGCATCCTCCCTTATTTCAGATCATTTGGTCATTAAGCCTCGATGATCCGAACCTGGCGTTAGACTTTTATAATTACTCTAATATATAGTAAGTAGTAAGTAAGTATATAGTAAGTAGAATAGAGCTTGATTAATCAAAATGTTAACTTCGTTAATGTAGCATTAAAGCTAAAAGACTGAAGAATAACGAAAATATACCGTCGTCTTACGGTGAGATCAACCAGTCACCTTATCGTGTAATTTCATGCGATATAATAATCTCCAAACTATTCACTCGAGAGGTTCATCGAAACAAAGCTACTCTTCATATCTAGTTCATGTAATCCTGAAGAGTCGGGTACAGAGGAGCATTAAACTCTGGCCAAGTCCAAGCATGCATTACGCATCCAGAGTACATTAAGCTGCAAGATAAAAGTATCATTGAGGCAGGATTTCCACAATCTAGCGCAGCCAAGCAACACGACATAGTAAAGGTGATTTTTCCATCAATTGACTGCCTCAAACAACTTGCCCTCTTCTTTTTCCACGTCTCTGACTGTAATAGCATCTAGCTTTGTCTGGCTAGCTCAACTTGTTTCCCTTCAGGCGACTACAACGCCCATTACGATGACTCAACCTCGTCCTGTCTGACGTTTCTTCGCCCTGAAGGACAGCATTGTTCCTGTTGTTGACAGTGGAGTTCAGCAGTATCCAAAGGGGACCACCGTGTTCTCCCCATCGTTAGTCGCATGTGTGCTTTGGTGTGTGCTAGACTTGGGAAGAAAGTCCGACATAAGTTCTGGCAGTTCAGACTTTTGCAGCAGCAGAGAAGTCGGCACATGACGATAGATGCATGAGGAGGTATGATGAGCCACTCTTCGTCCGCGGCACCTGGTACAGCCATCGACAAGAGTTGCAAGAGTTGCAAGAGTGTGCCTCATGAAAAAGGATGACTATAGGACTCGAGTTTAGATCTGGCCAGTTCCGAACCCCTCGAAGGGAGCGATGAGAGCGCCTAAGCCGTCGAGTTTATGCTACACTAAGTGCTGAGTTCAAAACTATTTCAAGTGAAAGTATGTGATGAATAGATTTGAAGATCAATCCCACCAAAAGACTGGAGCATTTTTGCTGATAATGTCTCCGAGGAGATCTCCTTCGAGTTCGGTGCAAAGTTTCGTCGGAATCATTCACACAACTTTTTCTAGACTAACGAATCAGGAAAACTGTCTGATGTATCCTTTGATACACACACTACCAATCATAACCACAACAAAGAGGCAATCCTATTTCATTTTCCTGCAAAGCCGATTTGCAAATCCCTTTCACTCGCTTTTTTCTAACTAAATGAATAGTATATCAGAGTGAATTTATTTATTAAGGAACTCTTCGAAACCTAGTTTTTGTCTATATCCTCTGTAATCGGGTCTCAGGCAAAGTTTGAAGTCCTGCGTTGTTGATCACCTAAATTATAAATTTGCAAATTCATAGGTCAAAACTGATAGATAAGCTTTACTGATGCATAATAAAGCTTCGGCCAGCTTGGCCATTTAAAATTCAAAGCAATTTTACCTAAACTGATGCTCTCTATATTGCGAGCGAACGTAGGTGAAGACAAGATTTGAAAGTCGAACCTACCAGAAGCTAATGTAGAATTATTTTTAATTCGTTATCGGTTGGGTGTACTGGGACATTCTTGCTGGCGTTGTCCCCCGAGCAATATCCCACGATTCCAGTGAAAACATGCTAAGCTTTCGTCCTTCATCAAAGCTTATACATTATGTATATATATGATGGTTAACGTATCAAGTTCATATGCTGCACTGTCACGGTTCGACTCCCGCTGGAGGTGGTTGATAAGACAAAGTCGAAACTGCAGTCCACCCTGAATGAGAAGAACTTTTTGGAAAGCAAGGCTATGTGAACGTCAATGGAAATGTCAGTTATACTCATATCATTGTTGGAAAATTCTACTACCAGTCCTTCATCACCTTAAACGAAATTGGGTGAAGACATCTCATAGTACTGATTTACTGATAGTCTCGAAACCATGTTTATACACGAGAAATAACTAATTTACGCAAGTTGATCTAATCGAGAGATAGACCATGTGAAAGATATCTGGTCTTGCGTCCTATGGTACAATACTCATGATAACTTCCAGTATCGGACCATTGACGTGGTACGATCCCATAACTATCGCAGGCCTCCTATTCAGAAGCGTCAGTGAGGGGCGCTATCTTTAACACTGATTAGTACCATGTCCTGAGTCGCACTCGTCCTGTCACTTTTGAAAATGTTGACACTTTTCAACAAAGATGCTAAAGAAGCGCTTGGGAGCGTACCAAATAGACAGTCCGATACTGCAAATTACCATGACTACTATGGCATATAATGCAGGACTGGGCACGTTTCACAAAGTACCGTATAGTCCAGGATAGGCTACGACAGACAGAATTGCAAAAAAAGGGTCAAATCAACAATACAAAGCCAAACAGCAATTGAGAATATATAAGTTTTTGACCTTGTTTTCGCGATTGGCCATGTTGTCAGAACGACAAAGAGTAACGTATCTTGTCCGGAGTCCATAGTATACATAATAATTTCCATAGTCGGACCGTGAAATCAGTATATTCCCAGACTGCGACCATACTAAAGGCCGCATCATCTTGGTCTGCATACCTTCGGTTGAAAATTGAGAGTACCTTAGAGACAGCTTAGCTCAAATGAGTCTGTGAATGAGCTCAATTCCTACGAATGGACGAGGAAATTCGAAACCCTACTCGAAGAGGTGGGCTATGTTGGTTGTCAAGATATACGAAGTTGATGTCGCGCTGGCATACGACACTAGCAGGAGCCTGTCTCTCAAAGCTGTGCACGAATGAGACAATTTCGCCTAATGACACTTGAAGATGCAGCCATAGTTACACCGGACTTTAACCGAATTTGCAAAAGATGGAACTATTCCATCCCAAAGTAGACCAACAGTCGTCGTTTATGTGAGACAACAAAGTCGGACGACCTTCAAAATATTCTAGGTCTACATAAAGAAGAAACAATCACAAATCGAAACCTCAAATTCGACCACATGTACAATGCTGGGGGGTGGAGGGGAGGGGAGGGAAGGAAAGGAAAAAAGGGAAAGTATGATGAAAGCCATTCATCAAGTCAACTTACTACACGAGAAATGCTAAAGGGCAATATGGAGCGCAGTGGGTCGGACTGATGAAGCATAAATATTGCCTCTTTGTGCGTCTCGGCGTGACAAATTGGCGCAGCAGCCACTCTGAACACGTGTAAACACGTGTTTATTCTGAGACTAAGCACAAGTGGAAAAACAGAAAAACACACAAAAGTCTGCAAACAGAAGTAAGTATGGCACTATGGCTATCTGGAGGCGGGCAAGAAAATAAGGATAAATAGACACACACAGACACAAGCAGGCCTGTGGGCAGGAGAGACTACAAATGAACGCGCACACTACCAGAATACTCATCAAGAAACAGAGTGTGGGTCAATCAGACCGGGGAGGGCGGAAGATGCCGTCAAGCCTGGAAGGGACTGCGCTCGGCTCGTGGAGCCTCGAATAGATTGGCTCCACCGGTGGACCGGGAAAGAAGCGGAGTCAGTTTGACAGAGTCCAAGCGAGCGCAAGGGGCAAGAACAATTATCCTTTTAGCATGAAGAGGCTGACGTACCGAGGGCCGAGGCATAGCAGAGACAGTCTTCGGAAGTGTGTCTGCGGACAGTAAGACAGCTTAAAATAAGAATCACAGTAAAGACACAGAAAACAATTATACTGGCCATCACATATATTCACTACCGTACACGAATGTGCATATGTATGCCTGCGTGTGTGCGCGCATGTGTGTGCCTACGTAAAAATATATACAAAGAAAACAGACGGCCGACAAACAAAGAGCCCGATTTGCACAGGCGGAGGATAAATATTTCTACAAACAGGCGATGTATCGAAAACTGGCGGAAAAGTGCACTTCAGTCAAACGAAGCCGGTGTAATCGAAGTGAGGCATAGAAATAATGCTTCTTTCGGCTCTAGAAATTAAGTCGCTTTCTTTCCTATACACA